ATTACAATTGTACTCGACGACTTGTCATGTTTTGAAAATGATCAATGATCGCATCATTATGTACACTTTCAAATACTTCATCCTCTATATAACAAGCTAAATAATCATTCAAAAGTTTATCACAAATTATGCTTCGCATGTTACTTTTAACGTACTTCATCAAAGAAAAACTCTTTCTACCGTTACAGTAGCGACATGCAATATCAAACTTAACTTCATGAGCAAATAAACAAGTCTCTAAGTCATGTGCAAATTTATTTTAACCAGTGTCTCTGAAAGATCTTCAAGGATTTTCAAGTTAGAGAATTCATTGCTCGCCTCTCACACATAGTCAATATAGATGTCAAGCTCAAAACTAAGATCCTCAAGCATAGAAATTAGTGAACTCATTCGGATAGCGTTTAGCAAGTTTCATTATCTTGTCTTTTTCATAATTTGCAAAAGAATTATTTGGACTCAAACTAGCCATACCAAGAAGTAGATTAGTATTCACTTTATTGAAACGACTGTTAAGCTCCAAAAGTTGCTAATCAATAACAACATAGAAAACCTTTACATGCAAATGATAAGAATATGTAACACTTGATTTCTTACACTTCAACTTTCCACAAGCATATCATGCTTGACACAAATGAAGAATTCCATCTAGGTTCTCTCATAACTTGCAATTGTCTCTTTGCGAAAACAACAAACTTCATGGCACTTACAATATCTTGATCTCTTTTTTTTTTTTTTTTTTTTTTTTTTTTTTTGCAAAATCATATTTAAATCATATGTAAGTGCCAATGCTTTCAACATTAAATGCAACATATACACAAACTCATAGGATCTTATGTCATCCACTGGACTTTTTGCCATTGATCTCTCTATTTGAACCCTCAATTGCAAGAACTACAAGTACATCAACAATTGATGAAAATAAACTAATAAAATTACGCATTGTCTTAAAATGTAAATCTCAACGAGTATCACCTGCCCTTTGAAGTTTAAGTTCTTGATTTAATCTGCTTCCCGTATGAACTTCACCAAGCACTAGTAGTTCCTCTAGTTTTTCTGCTTGATCATCTCGAAGCATCTCCCTGCGCTTAAAAGAACCTCCAACAATATTTAAAACATTTGCAAGAATATAAAAAAATTTGTTCTGCCTCATAATGTTTCTTTGCAACAGCTACAAGAATCAATTGTAATTGATGCGCAAAACAATGCTAATATGTCGAACGAGTATCATTCATAATCAAAGTTTTAAAGCCATTAATTTATCCATGTATGTTACTAGCTCCATCGTAGCCTTTACCCCGTATTTGAGATTTACATAATAAATGTTCCAAAAACAAAGAAAAAGTTGTTTCTTTCTATGACTTTGCAGATGTATCTTTAAAATGAACAATGCTAAGGAATCGCTCACTAACTTTACCTTCTTTGTTTACATAACGCAAAACAAGTGTCATTTGTTCTTTATGAGAGACATCCTTAGACTCATCAACCAATATCTCATAGTAATCATTGTTCAAGTCTTTAATAATTGCTTTCAATGTTTCGTTTGCACAAGATCTCACAATGTCTTTTTGTATACTTGGACAAATCATGATGTCATTTTTTGGAGCATTTTCTAGCACAAACTTTTTTACATCTTCCTTCTTATCGGCATACCACTTTAAGAGATCTAAGAAGTTGCCTCGTCTTGTAGAAGTTTCGCTTTCATCGTGATCTCGAAAAGGGTGGGTATTTTTTTAGGCAATCAGCGGGTGCCACGTATTCTTTTAAAGTTTTGATGAGTGGATTAACGACCGTGAGTTAATTTTAAACTCAAAGTAGAACGGTAGGGGTAAGAATATGCAAAATGTGAAATGGGGGAAAAATATAACTTATTTTTAAAAGTAGAGGGATAAATATGACCCTTCCTCCTTTTTAGTTTGAGTTAAGTGATTTGTTAGTAAGTACTCCCTCCGGTCCAAAATAAGTGATTTTTTGGATGTTTTCACACAGATTAAGAAATTCACCCTTTAACATGAATGAGCAATGAAATTGACCATATTAACCTTTACTATCTCACATAAACACTCCTAACACATACTCTAACACTATTTACTCCAAGTATAATATAGGAAAAAAATAATTAATTCATTCTTAAAATCTGAAAAAATTACTTATTTTGAACCACAAAAAAAGAACAAAAAATCACTTATTTTGAACCGAGAGAGTATTATTTTTGTTTAAAAAATAGAATAAAGTGAAAGGGGGAAAGCTGTAACTGACAAGGGAAACGTGCATAAAATTTTGTGCCAAAAAATATGGAAAAATGTAAAAGATTTGAACTTGGATCATTGGTTATAGGAAGCAAGGCAAACCTAGATTCCACACCTCAACCTTGAACCAGCAATACATTTTGTAACTAGGTTTATATATAAATTAGTTAATTTACCCGTGCGAGTTTTAAAAAGATAAATATGAATGAGAATTTATTGTTAAAATTTTGAAAATTAAAAAAATCCTTATTCTTTATTTAATTTTATCTTTTTTTATATTATTCAACCATAAATCATAATTGTGATCTAATTATATTTTTAAGGTTGATTACTTCTTTCTACCATCTTCAAGACTCACTTTCTCTATTTTTTATATGCATGGAAGCATATACTTTGCTCCTTGCAAGGACTTCATAGGCTAATTTGAATGTTTAAATTGTAGGACTAAATCTTCTTTTATCGATGAAAATAAAATTAAATAATTAATTAAGGCAATGTACTTGGGTAAACAATAACTATTGATATTAGTACTTTATTGTACTATTTGTCATATTTAATGATATCCTACATCATGTCAAAAAATGATAGCATTACTATTAAACAAAAGTTATGCAAAAAACGTGTTATATATACTGAAATTTATAATTCAACACAACAAATAGTTCTCCTATATATTACAGTAATATTTTATGATATAAAAGATTAATAAATAAATAAAAATTCAACACAACAAATAGTTCTTCTATATATTACAGTAATATTTTATGATATAAAAGAGTAATAGATATATAAAAATTCAATACAAGGTTTCGTCTTTGCATTACCCTTCATTTTCATTTTTTTTCTCTACTTATAAATTAAGTGTTATTTTATAAGTAAACTTATAATCGTTTTTTGTTAACTTTAGTTTAGGTAGGAGGAGATGGAAGTTTTCATGTATGTATATACATACAAAGCTGATTTTATAAAAAAAAAATTAAGTGGATAATTAGATGAGTATAAGATTAAAAGAAAATGAAAACACAAGTAAATAAATATCCAGACAAACACCTCCCCGTTAGTAGGAGAAATATAAAATATCGGCTACTCCGATCCCGTTTTAAAATATCTTAAGTACTGAGTCTTTAATTATATTAGGCAAAATTGTGAAAATACAAAAAATATACAGTATTATTTTTGTCGTCTCCGATACATGCTTTAAGATAGTCGCCCCTCCATTTACAAAAAAAAACACCAAACCAAAATTTATCAAGAGCTAACAACAATATAAAGACGATTGGAAACCACAAGTCGACAACACCTTGAGAATATCAACTACTATCACCGATCACAAAACGCCCTAGACGATTGTGCCAAGATTGAGGAATACATACAGTCATGTCATTAACTTGCACATCATAAATTTTTGGAGGTTACGAATGTAAAAGGCATAAAAACGCAAGAATATTAATACAAATAGAAATGGAAAACTCATAGACTTCATTCTCTTAAATGTCTTTCCCTTTTAATTGAGCAATCAATCTAGACAGTTATTGACTTTTTAATAGCCTTTTCATTTTGCAGCAAATATTTGAGGGCAATATAAGAGAAAAATGCCAAAAATTTGACAAAAAAGATAAATACCAATGCTGGCCAAAGAGAGTACCACTTCACTTTTCTATTCCCCTCTTTTATATATATAAATAGATATTGTCATACATTTAATAGATTTCTTAATACAAATATAGAATTTAGGCAAAAGCTCTTAGGTTCCCGAAAATCCATACCTATCATTGTAGATCCGCCCCTGATTTTATCATACATGACAGCTTAGTTGTAATTTTTTATATCGAATCAATAAATTTCCACAACTCTTTCTTTTATGCAAAATATCGAGATAGTTAATGTATTTATTAGGTACAAAATTTTGTTTTATAATAAAAACTCTTAATTCAAAAATCAGTCGTCAAATTAATTTTCGAACTTCATCTACTATACTAATGATGAAGATCTATGAACCTATTTACCAAAAAAAAAAAAAAAACATAT